AAAAATATCATGACCACACCTCGGCTTCTTTTCATGTTTGGTCTCTCTCCCCCCCTCCCGCCTACTTGCCCCCCACCCACCCCCCCGTCTATACTTTATGACCAGTCCCTAATGACTGTTTTATCTCTGTTTGCACCTTTGTTCCTTTCACTTTTCAGCTTTCAGGACTATGTCCACAAAACTGGACTAATCTACAAGGTTCGTGCTACAAACGCTCGTCAGTGACCTCGAGCTGGAACTCTGCAAAATCTGCTTGTGAGGCTATGAGGTCTACGCTCGCCATGGTAAAGTCACAAGCTGAACAACAAGCAGTTGCCTCGATCATATCAGAAAAAACATGGATTGGTTTGCAAAGGGATTCCAAAGATAATTCACCCTGGTTGTGGGTCGATGGATCGCACGCAACATACTTTAACTGGGCCAATAAAGGGCCCGACAACGCCGGCGGAAAAGAGTTTTGCGTACAAATGTTTGTTTCGGGAAAATGGAATGATAGAAAGTGTACCGCTGATCATTATTACCTTTGTGAAACTAAAGGTAGGTGACACAACAGTAGTCTGCTTTGTGCTGTTCAAGTTCTCAACTTGTGTACAATGCAAACCGTGGGTTTTATACATCTTATGATTTAAAGAAAAGCAGTTGTCTGAAATATGGCTCGGATGGAGTTGGAGGAGACGTGCGGATTTCATCCATGTATTTCATTTTGGTGAGAGAGCCACTAGTGACAAAAAAAGAAAAAATCTCACAGTGATCCCCTCTCGCTCCCCTTCCCCCTTCCTCTTGAGCGAATGCGTAGGAAGGTTGCCTCGAATGAGTCCCGTACGCCTTCATTTCTCTTAGGTAGCCTGTGTTCAGTACGACTTTCAATAAAGTATTTTTTGCACAATCTGTAAAAGTAGTCCAACAGCAGAATTTTGGAATCATTGTAGCTATGAGACTAGTATCCGAAAGGCCAATTGAAAGACTGTTGCACCAGTCATTCAATTGTACTAATTGCGTCGACGAAGGAAACGCTTTCTAATTGAGTCGTTGGCTGGTCTGTGTGTTCGTGGGCGGCCTGTGCATGTTCCAAGCGCGAGAAATCGAGAAACGAGGTTGTCGGTGTCGTCGGTGTGTTGTTCCAAATCTGCGCCATCTTGAAACGTCACAAGAGCATCCAGCATCAACAGCGTTCAATGCGCTATTTTGAAACGTCACAATAGTATGTTTGTGTCACAATGATATCCATCATGCCCATCGCGTTTCGCAGCATTTGGATCTCTGCTTCCTCGTGGTTTCCGGCCTTCTTTAATTTGAAATCTTTCTTGCTTCCTCTTCATAAGAAATTCCTACTGTGTGAGAAATCAACTCCCCGTAACTCAGTAACGGTAAAAAAGGATTAAGATGCTTTATGATAACCGATACAGGTGCCTAAGGCCCTAAGACGACGCACTATAATCTACGATTACTGCTAGTAACTAAACAATAAAGTTTATGCTGGTGGGCATAAACATATTTTGAGTCCGACTCAGACACATTTTAGCCCTAGCCGCTCGGCAAGGATTAAAATGAGCTCTGAGAAGGGTTGAAAACATATTTATGCCTAAGAACATAAAATCTGTTACTATTATTATCACTTTTGAGAGTATCGAGAAAATAAAAGAAAAGAGAAAGTAAAAATAAAAGTTTTCACAAACTGACAATTGACAAGACGGTCTGAATAAAAAAAAATACACTTTCATGTGAAACCGGCTAGAACAAAATTACATAATTGTTCCATTTAAGTTCAGTAAAAAATAATAATAGACAAGAGAGCTCATTTGTAGGCGTTTAAATTAGCCCTCGGACGTACAAGGCGGGGCAAACGGGGGGAGTGGTTGCCCCCACTCCCCTGAGGTTTTTCTGAGCTTTTTCGTAGAGGATAAAACATCAGCGACTGACATTTTCAGTAGCTGTTTGTTTATCTCTGGTGCACATTTTGAGTTAGTGATGGTCAGTTTCTATAGTTACGAGATATGACGTCATAAGTAGCAGGTTGTTAAGCCATGTTTGTGTGTAAAATATATATGTTTTTCAACTCCTGCCACCAATAAAAGTAAATCTTGTAGCAAAAAGCTTATTTATGTGTTATTTTTTCATGTAAAGCACAAAAAATTACCATTTCTTGCGGTTTTAACCTGATTTGTAATTCTAACCACTGTTGTTCTAACCATTGTTGGTCACAAGCCTCCAGCAGCGCCACCAACCATAAAATATACCTCACCTTGTTAAGAAAATCAAAGGCTTTCCACTGAAGGTAAAATCGTTTCGAAATACTGCAACTATGCAACTAGTCAAAAACTCTGGGGAGGGGTTCCATCTCCCCGACCCCCCCACCCTCCCCCCCTGCCCTTGTACCAGGGTGGGGGATGGATTTGGAAATTGTTGATATACTATAAAAACCATGTATGTATGCGTGTATGTACATACATACACGCATACATACATAAATACATGCATATTTATGAGTGTGATCCTACAATTTCGGACCATACGAAACAGCACTATCGCAATGAATGATCAATGATTACTCCTGAAGCCTGAACTCCTGTGATTATTAATAAATACACACATACATAAATACACACAATGTATGTATGTATGAATTTGCGTGTACGTCCGAACGTTAAATGGGCACAATTGATTGAATTAAGTGCTTTCGCACCTCGCCGCCGAGGTGTTTATAAGTTTTTCTATTTTTTTTTGTTACATCAGAAACCTCGCTTACTTTTGTAGATCTTCTTCCTGTGACTTAGGACAATTTACAAATTCTTTGTTATTCATGTTTTCTGCCAACCTTCGGCTTTGAAAATTTGACGCTATGTTTTCTTTCACAAACGATGCAAGATCCATTCAAGATATACATGAACTAGTAGCAAGTTCCAGGTGTTCAGATGATGGGGAGCGAGTTAAATCGTATACGCGTACGCAGCGAGTGCAAAAGAAACACGAGGGAAAAAAAAACAAGGGGAAGCCCATTTTTTCCGTCATCAAATTGTTGTTCGCGCACGCCCAACTAATTTTTTGCCCTCCCTCCACCATCTGAACACCTGGAACAGGCTATCCACCTAGACGTTAGCTTAATTTTCATTTCTTTTTAATTACTGAATTTGTATTTCCATATTGTTTTGCTCTTACATCTAATTTCTTTTTGTTTTTTTAAGCTCATCACTTCAACGTATGGCTTACTATGCCGAGTAAAAGTTTGACCTTGGACCTATTAAATTCCACCTCTACGCAATACCGTCAAACAAGAGCTGAGGTTATGAATGAGGTAGGTCATTTGTTGGTGTCAGGAATCCTGCACTACATTACTTTGTGAGGTTCAGTAACCTAAATATTGGGTATGTCGATTTGATGTAAGATTTTTAATGCTTCTTAGCAAGGAAAAATCACAGTCCAGGTTTACAAACAAAGCATTTTTCGTAGCTTAAACCCTCAGCAAATGACAGCTATATATTGAACATCTAATTAGTTGATAAGGAATATAAATAAAAAGGTACTTACCGCCAAAAGAACAATTGCGCAAATTGTCCTTATTTGTCAGTTGTGAGCAGATCCATCATTTGCCAATGCAGAAGTCATATTTAAATTATACATAGATTAAAAAGCTGTTTTTGTTGGTATATAATCCAGTTAATAAGTGATGAATCAATTTGCAAAACAGGTAAAAAAGCTAACAGGCTAAATGCCCGCTACACACAAAAAGTCCGCACTTTACTAAAAAGTGCTATACTTAAGAGCGAAATAAATGCAGTTGTAACAGTTTTTTACAGTTTGCCGTCAAAATAAGGACAAACTGCGCATAAGCAGAACATTGTCTACAGTAAAACAATTTTTTCACTGCGAATGCGCAGCTCATTGTCCAAGAGCAGTGATCGATAGGTGAATTTATGTATCGTGTCTAAGGCCAATCGAAACTTTAAAAATTGTTAAATTTAGTCGAAAATGAAGTTCATTCACCTTTCATGGGGCCAAGCAAGCTCTGGAATGGACCTACAAGATCAGAACACGTGATTTAAAAAGAAATAAAGGAAGAGTGAGCGAAAATTTGGCAATATTTTGTGTGTTTGTTTGAAATGAATTTCTCTACCAAAGCTAAATTTAAAAATTGCACTGTCTAATCACAGACGAAGGCGGCTCAGATGCATTAATTTATTTGTTTATTCCTTTTTTACCTTGCAGTTCAATAATCATTTTGATAACTCTGGTGGATTTTTTATTGCTGAATTTCTGCGATTTGGGTATGTAACGCTTCCATTTCCTACAGAATTGTTTGCAATAAAGAGCAATGAACGTTTTTAAACATACGTGTGTACTAACAGGTAAAAACATTCAGAGTTGTACTTTTTTTCCCAAAAAAAAAAATCGAGAAGGGTGTTATCTTGCGAAGAGGAAGGACGAATGAGACATTCTTCCAACAACATATATTGTTATACACTATCTCCCTCTCATTGGCTAAGAGCAGATTATTAGTTAGTTATTGGCTAGTTATTTGCTAGCAGGTTAGTGACATTGTGCGCACAATGCATGATTTCCAAGACTAATTTCAATGTGTGTTCTGTGCGATGGTGTGTTTGTCATTACTTATACATAATAAAACAATTATTATATATATATATATATATATATATAATCGCCAGTCTAGACGGAGCTGTTAGACGTCAGGAAAAGAGAAAACCCAGTCACTTGGACTTCTGCATTAACAATCGCGCGTTCTTGATACGAACAAGGTAGCACATACAGCCGCAGGCGCAAGATTGGAGCCACTGCACCACCAATAACATCAGAGACAAACAGTTTCAGCTATATAATTCTCTAGTGGCAAGCAATCTGGCAGAAATACACGAGCAGCACAAGCAAGTCTCAAAATGTGGGGATAGAAAGACATTAACATTCATAGTTTATCGTGTTAAACACAAGAAACACCTAACAATTGTGCACGAAAAAGAAGAACCACTCGTTAAGCAATTAACTGCAGGCCAAAACGACGTCATATACGTAAATGGAATAGAATTACGCCCACGATTAAAGCCACCAACGCCAATAAAATCAGAAACGAACAATTTTCTACTGAGTGACGAACAAGTTTGCAGAAAGACACATGCAGCACAAGTAAACCTCCAAATGTAGAGTTGGAACGACAATAAGAGTCAAAGTTTTCCGCGTTATACACAAAAACGCCAAACAATTGCTCACGAAAAACAACTACTCATTAATCAATTAATTGACGACATACCCACGTCATATACGTAATAGAAATTCGCGCAAGAGCAGAGACATCACCGCCTATACAATCAGAGAAAAACGGTTCTTTAGTAGCAGTTAAGTTAAGACTTAAAAAGTAGCACAAGCTAGCCTCAAATTGTAAGGATAGAGAGACATTTAAATTTAAAGTTAATTTTCCGCGTTAACACAAAAAACGCCAAAGAATTGTGCCCGAAAATAAGTACAACTCATTAACCAATCTATTGATGCCATACCCACGTCATACACGTAATTGTCAATTTATGGTATATAAAGAGTTATGACACATAGTTAATGCAATAAGTCCAACGGCGCGTAAGCGACCGGACAAGCTGAAACTGTAAAATTCCGCTGAAGAAGACAGTAAAGTCGAAAACGGTCCGGAAAATGGCTTGTTTTGGTTGAGACGGCTGGATCGGTACTCAACCATAAGTACCATCCTTAATTTCCAGTGCGAAACCGCAAGGGAGGTTCCGTTACGGGGAATGAGAAGCATGCTGAACCTAGACACCTTCTCTTGGCAAGAGAGCCCGTGCAAATTATTTATATATGTATAACGCTTACCGAGTATAATCAAACTCGGTAAGCGTTATTAGCCGAGCCGAAGACCGAGGCTGATAACACTGACTTCGACCTTGATTTTTCCGGATATCACAAAAACCTCACTCAATAATGATCGTTTGTTATTGGCTGATTGCAAAATTAACCAATTATGATGGAATCCACAGGCTATCCTTATATACAAAGCTAAATGAGACCTTTTCATAATAAGGTTTCTCTCACATCCCCCCACCCCCCCCCTTCCCTTTTACCTTGGGTTGCTTAACACATAGTTTACGCACTTTGTATTGTTTCCGTTTTTTCCTAGTGCTCAAACAAGAAGCTCTAAGCCACCCTACTTGGTGGAGCCTATGGCAGACATAAGAGTGTTCTCTACAAACTGTTCGGTGAAAGATCAGTTGATAAACGATCACTTTGTATTGTTTCCGTTTTTTCCTAGTGCTCAAACAAGAAGCTCTAAGCCACCCTACTTGGTGGAGCCTATGGCAGACATAAGAGTGTTCTCTACAAACTGTTCGGTGAAAGATCAGTTGATAAACGAAATAAAATCAGGAATAAAGAGGATAGCAATGTTTAACAGTTCTCTCCTGGAGATAGTAGACACAGGTAATAGTATCACGAGAAGACTTTTCTTAGTCTTATTTTTGTGAGTCAGTTAAACAATATTATGACTTGATAAATTTCCTGTCTATATCAAAGTTGAAGATCCAATCGGTCATCGGTTGGGAAAAGCTTCGTACAGCGTCGTAGCCAGGATTTTTTTAGAGGTAGTCACAATTTTTCACATTCCGTCCCCCCCTCCCCCGCCCATCTACCTCTTTTTAGACCTCAGTTCATCACACGTACGTAACGTGCGTACCGTGCCATGCAGCCGACGTGCCTGTCGTATAAGCGTTTTTGTCTTTGAACGAAAGGCCCTTACATCTAAATTGATTAACTGTATTAATCTGTATCAGGATAAAAATTCTTATAGTTACGTTCGTAGCATTCTATTGTAGTCAAGTCCCTAAATATCCTTAATTTGTTTTATCTCTAGAGAACTGTAAATGTCCTCCCGTACTCGTTAACCTTAATCTGACCAAGGACCTACAAGACCTTAAAGAAAATATTACAGTGCGCGGACAGACCAAAATACCTTTAACTGCAAGTGTAAGCCGCGTTACCTGTAGCTTACCAGAAACAACAAGATACTGGCACATAATTCAGATTAACGATCCTCCAGAACACTACAAAATAAAGTTTCTTCAACTTCAGCTTAACAAGTCTAAATCTATTACAGTAACGCGAAGTCTGGAAAAGGATGTATTCTTGTACGTCAGTTACATATTTAAAGGTCTTGCACACGGCAAGATCATCGGATATGATTATGGTTACTTTAAGGTCAAACGTGATCCCCCGATCGCAAGCATTATGGGACTGTCATGCGCTTCTAAAGGAGAGGGGAATATCATCCTTAATGGATCGTTGTCGTATAACCCAGAACCAGTTGGACAACTCAGTTTTACATGGCTCTGTCGGAGAACTTATGAAACATTTTCTACTCCCTCCTATAATGTTGATCTTCCAAACATGCGCACAAACGTTTCCAAAGGTTGCTTTGGTAACGGTCCCGGAATACTTAGCGCCACAACAAATGTCCTTGTTGTTGATGTCGACAAGATGGAGGAGGGACAGACTTACGTGTTTGAGCTAATTATTACAAGTGGTCGGAAAACATTTAACGTCAGTCATCAATTGACCATTCACCAGGAAGTAATTTTTTTTATTAGGTAAGCTATAGTCTAGAAAGAAAACTGTTTACGAAACAAGGAGATGAGACGATGAGACGATTAAATTGAGATAAACGAGAACGATAAAGATGGACTGAACCGCACGATTAAGTCGTGACGAGGGATAAGATCATATTTAAGTGTTACTTTTTGCGTTATATGAATAATAAATTATTATTATTACCATTGTCACTGTTGTTATCGTTATCGTTATGGTTAGCGTTGTCGTTGTCGTTATCGTTATCGTTATCGTTATCGTTATCGTTATCGTTATCGTTATCGTTATCGTTATTGTTATTGTTATTGTTATTGTTATTGTTATTGTTATTGTTATTGTTATTGTTATTGTTATTGTTATTGTTATTGTTATTGTTATTGTTATTGTTATTGTTATTGTTATTGTTATTGTTATTGTTATTGTTCGCAGACCTCGGAAAGAAATTTTATTCTTGATCACCGATTTTGAAACTAGACGTTATGCTGTTGCACTCAAAACGGGTTGTTTTCAGTGTAATATTCTTTATTTGCAGTTGCAGTTACAACTGTGGCCCCAAACCAGTTAATCCCAGGAAACGAACGGTCATAAAATCAAACTGTACAGGACGTCTTTGCAAAAACATAACACGCTACGAATGGACTTTGTTTCAATTGGACTCTGCTGATGTGAGCCGTTCTTGGAAAGAAGTCTCCGGCTTAGAGTACAATAATCCAGACTTAGAACTGATTAGTAATTATTCACTTAAAGTGAATACTTCTTACAAGATAAAAGGTTCAATTGAAGTGATGAAAGGCAAGATCAAGAAAAAATATTCAAGTTTTAATGAGATAACGTTTCAAACTATGTCGCCCTTATTAACTCCCAACGACACATGTAAAGTAACACCGAATGAGGGTTTTGCTTTGGAAACGAACTTCACAATTGACTGTGACGGTTGGCAAGACCAATATGCAAACCTAACTTATTCTTTCAGGTACGTTTCCTTATGATTTGAACTAGTTATAATGATTTTCAAGGGAAACGAGAGTTACATTGCTGTGTTATTATCTGTTCTATTATTTGTTGGGCATTTTTGCTCTCATTTTTTGTCGGGGAGGAGGGTTACCAAAGCCAATGACAAATATTTTTCATGAATAATAATGCTGGTTAAATCGATGTTGGAGTTGTTTGAATTTACTGTTGTTTGAAATAAAATTTTGCGATGAGATTTCAATAACGAAAATGTTTGCTTGTTCTCCTGGAATTAACGATCAATCGAACGCACTATAAGTTTTTCTATTGACTTGCCAGCTCTATGAGTAAAGATAACAAGGTCTTCAACTTTCTCACTCCTTAGCTGTAAACTTTTTTTAATGATTTCAATACTAGTTACATTACTTCTACTGGCTCAGTTATTTTGGAAAGTGCAACCCCGATCCATTACATATCAACAAGTATTCCTGAAGGAAAACGATCTGAAGGCCACAATGTTACGATACTTGTAATCATAGAAGATACGACCGGCGCAAGTCATCCGGACAAGTTTATTGTGAAGGTACATTATAATTTCTTTTATTATGAATAATAATTAAGCTAGATCGGACATGTACTGGGAGACAGTATTGGAAATGCTTCTCCTTTGTAAAGCTCCTAGCTGCGAGAAAAGATGGATGAGGCTACTGAGTTTTAGATTCAGCCAACATTTTGTAAAACTTGAAAAATGGGAAACTCACCATAATCAAGCCTACGTTTTGCCAAATAATTTATCATAAATAGTTATTAATAACAAAGAGGACGTTTTTTATCGTTGTTGTGATTGATGTTTTGTACAGCAGAATGATTGAAAAAACTTTACCCTGGCAGAACAACTACAGTTATTTATTTATTTATTTATTTAGGATATAGATGACATTGTCGTTTGTCTACATTGTCTTTTGTCTACGGCATATTATCTTTCATTTCGCTAGAATTGACCTAAAAGCAATGTACACTTCCTAGCTAGGCTATGTTCACAGTATACTGGATATCTTTTCGTGGCGCCACGAAAACCTAGCATCCAGCATAGAATTAACATTAACAGCCCCTTTTGGCACATGTCGTTCACACACATCGAACAAAGTGTCGGCGCGGTTAACCGCGATGTTTGGTGTACTAAATTTCCGTCCTCATTCCTGAATACAGTATTTACTTCAGTTTCAGTGGCTTCCAGTCCCCGCTCCTTCTTACTTACTTCAGCGACGGGCCAAATAGGTGTTCACACCGCACTACTGAGTATGGCACAAACCGAACAGATATTTGACTCTCAACTTTCGAGATCTGCGCCGCGCAGCTTCGCTCTTTCACAGAAATCACGCCGCCACAACATTTCCTGTGTGTGAGCAGAAGCCCTTTCGGGTATGATTTTCGTGGTGGTGCAAAGTATATCCTGTATAGTGCAAACACAGCCTTAGATTGCGAAGCCCAGAGTCCTCGGGAATCTTACGATTCCGCTAATACCTACCTACCGGTAACATAATGTAACCGCTGACGTTAACATGTGATTGCCGTCATGTTGCCTAGACGTTGTCACGTGTTAACGTTATATTTCTGTTTCCGGATTCATGAACTTTAGTTTTGTGATATATGTATAACTGTTGTTGTTAATAAAGGTGAGGCCGTCTACAAATACATCAAATGTGGCACATGCAATTGGTGACTTAGTGAAGAAAGGCGACGTCCGCAGAGCTACTACTACGGCCATTTCTTATCTTCTTGGTTCCAATGACAGTCAGGTAAGTGTTTAATGAATCATTATCTTAACTGAACATGTCACTTAAGATTTTCATGTCGTCGTTTAAAGTTGTCATTGCGCATTAGTTTTGCCTTTCACGCCTTGTTATGTAAATACATACCCTGCGAGCAGAGGTTTCTTTCTGGCATGGCTTATAGCATTTACGAAGTTGTCCCCGCCACTTGTCAGTCGCGAAGTCCGTTTGTTTACGTAAACAAACCAACTACGCCGCTGAACACGTTCCAGGTTCCCTGTTAAAAAAATGTTACAACTTTTTTCGATTTGATATCCCTTATTTTGAGTCCCAAATTCTACAGAACGAAGTGAGCCCTTCTATTCCCCCGCCTTCCCTCTCCCCCCCCCCCCTCCAAAAAAAACATAAACATAGACTAATGATGAAGCCTTTTTTACCACTTCAGAGCAAGGACACCATTTTGAGTTCTATGGCTAAAGTTAAAGTCACAAAGATCAGCGAGGCAACTCAGCTTACAACTATTGCTGTTTTGGCAACTCAACAAAGAGACAAAATTCCTCTTGAAACCCTGGCAAGTATTTGATAATGGCCGATATTATGCCCGGGAGGAAAAAGCGGTCTGAGACTTAAATGTCCTGTAAAAACAGTTATTAAGACAGACGCATTTCATTTAAAAAAATACAATGTACAGTATTCTGTTAAGTGCGCCCCTGTAATTTTAAGGTCTCTCTCTGAATTTAAAGAGGGTCTGGATGGGGTTAACTGACAACTGAAAAATAGCCGAAAATTTAACTGACTACTGACATTTGCCTTGGGTTTTACTTTTAACTGACAAAGGACCTGATTGTCCCTTATTTTCTACAAAACCCATTTCTAAGTCCTTAAATAGCATTGTTCCACTCTTTTCATCAGACAATGTGATCATACGTGCGTTTTTAGGGGTAATCTTAACAGCAAGACGCTTAAGTGTGATATTTCGTTAATGATTTTACTGTAAAACCCATGTGTTTCATGAACCATCTGTTGTAAATGACCTATCATCTCAAATTTAAGCTTCTCTGAATGGCTGCTCAGAATGAGGGCGTTACAAAAACAATTGCAAGTTTTTACTGAGATGATTCAGGGACGGTTTTTCTTGGTCGTCTTACGATCTTCATCCCAATATCATACCTGCCAACTTTTTCTGAGTCAAATGCGTGGGCCTACCCCCCAAAACTTAAAATGTTAAACATTATACCTATCGTCAAAGCTGACGACGAGACCGACACTTCTAATTATAGGCCAATTTCATTATTATCTAATGTCAATACAATCTTCGAAAAAATTATGTACGGCAGAATGAGAGACTTTATTAAAAAGTACAGCCTATTATATTCGTCTCGATATGGTTTTCGTCAAGCTCACTCAACCCAACATGCTATTCTTGATAATAGAAACTATACAAACCAACATGGACAACGAACTCTTTTGATGTGGCGTTTTTATTGCCTTAAAAAAAGCCTTTGACACCGTGAATCATACTATTTTACTTGATAAACTAAATTATTATTGTTTCCGTTGGAATTGTCAATCAATGGTTTTCCTCTTATTTATCAAATCGCACACAGACTACTGAAATTGGCTCTCATATATCGAGTAAAATAAATATCAATTGCGGCGTACCGCAAGGATCTGTCCTAGGCCCACTTCTCTTCTTACTTTATATAAATGACATCCAATATTGTTCGAGCAAACTCCAATTTTTCCTTTTTGCTGACGACACTAACGCTCTTTATGCTCATAAAGATTTAAAGACACTGAAACTAACAGTAACTGCAGAAGTACACAACTTGTATAACTGGCTGACTTCAAATAAGCTTTCTCTGAGTATTAAAAAGCCAAACTATGTAATTTTTCGTCCACACCAAAAAAAAAACCCAACTATGATCCCCAGGTTATTTTTGACAATAAAATCAATAAAAAGGTTACCCTTGAACACAAAACTTTTATTAAAGATCTTGGACTGTTAATCGATGACAATATATTTTGGAAGACCCATAATCACTCTATTGCAAACAAAATAAGTAAACAACTGGGCTAATTGCGAGATTAAAAAATATTGTTCCCACTTGCACCCTCCTAAATATTTATCAGTCACTAATTACACCTTATCTAACCTACGGTCTTTTTAGGCTTGGGGCAACGCGTGTAAAACTTTCCTTGACCAAATTCTTGCCCTTCAAAAACGCGCACTGCATTTAATATAATTTGCTGAAACAAACCACCACGCAATACCTATTTTTGTCAATGCAAAAATTCTAACTTTACAGGCTCTATATTATGAATCCGTTTGTAGTCTTTTGTATGGTGCAAATAAAAACACTGCTTCGAATAATATTTAGAAACTCTTCTCTCGAATTTCTAGTGTTCATAATTACAATACTCGTGCCTCAACCTCTGAACATTTTTATACTAAAGAATCTCAAGTCAGTGTCAAACGAAATGCTTTCTCGCGTGTTGGGGTCAAAATTTGGAATGGGATACCTCAAATTCTCAAAGAAAGACCGAAAAAAGCTTTTAAAAGATCACTACAAGCAATGCTACTCGATATCCTTCAAACTGAACACTCCTATATTGATGTTGATACGACTATTGTGAAAATGAAAAAGTAATTCTCTTGTCCTTTATTTTCATTTTATTTTATTTTTAAAATTTTACTCCAATATTGTCCCTGTATTTAAGTAGAATAGTATTTATTGACTGTAAATTATATATACTTATATAACGTCTACTTTCTTTGTATTTGTCGAGTTTGTAGTAAATTATGTAGCCTGGCATGCCTCGAATAGCCTCGCTAGTATGGTATTTTGTTATATTTCCAAATTTAAATAAAGTTGAATTTCGCATCAATAATGTCCAAATAAATTTCATTTCATTTCGTAATTTCCTTTTTTCATAGGAGAATACTGCTAGTGTGCTAGACAATACAATCATCTTCCTTCTTAAAAATGCTGTGAATAACAGAGATGAAGTTGAACAGAACATTGGCAAAAACACTATAAAAGGATTGTCTAATATTCTTCACGCCTCTTCCAACGTGCCCGACAACCAGGTAATTTTTAAGCAAAATGGGTGAGAGATTATGGAACCCTATTATGGGGTCAAATAGCTCCACTACTCGAAGTACAGATCATACACAAACTCGCAGTTTTTGCATTCAGTGAGCCAATAAAAATGCTTACGGTATTTCATATCGTGGACCAGCCCGTGCAAGTTAACCCTCAGACGTACAAGAGGTGGGTGGGTGGGGGGGGGGGGGGATTGAATGGGTGCACCCCCTCCCGGCGAGTTTGCAGAGTTTTCCCCAGCGGATAAATTCTCGGCTCGTGGCGTTCCCGGGGGGTGCTCGTTCATCCCCCGTGAGATTGTTGAAAAAGTTTCCGGTCTTGTCCTTTAATTGGGTGTTATCATTTAGTGGGTAGACGATCTAACAGTAGCGGTGGGAAATCCTCGTTTAAAAGAAAAATTTATAAAAGTAATGAGGGTGAAAGAAAGACACACTCTTATATGCACAAAAAACCCCCCACCTAGAAAAAAAAAACACAAAAAACTCTCGTTTTTTTTTATATAAAAAGAAAAAAAAAAAGTTTTTTGTTTTTTTTCCGGTGGGGCGCAGCCGGAGAAAGAACCCCCACGGGGGGGGGGGGGGGGGGGGGGGGGGGGGGGGGGGGAGTGGATGGATGCCACCCCTCCCTGAGATTTTTCTGAGTTTTTCCCAGAGGATAAAATATCAGCGCCTGACGTTTTCGGTAGCTGTTCTTTCATCCCTCGCGCAAATTTTGAAACAAGTTCAGTAGCTTTCATTGATATTCAGTTGCTATGGTTACGGGATATGACGTTATAGGTAGCAGTTGGTCAAGCCAGTTTTGGGTGAAAATACATGTTTTTTCAACTTTTTTTCAACAATAAAAGTAAATCTTAAGACTAAAATCATGCAGAGTGCTTATTTATGTGTTATTTATCATGTAAAGCTCCAAAAGTACTATTTCTCGCGGTTTTAGCCTAATTTCTAGTTCTTGGCAAAATCCAGGATGGCGACCGTTGTTGGTGACGTCACAGGCGTCCAGTAGCCCCACCACCCTTTTAAAATATACCTCATCTTGTTAAGAGGATCAAAGGCTTTCTACTAGGGCAAAATCATTTTCAAATATTGCAACAGATCAAAATCTCCGTGGAGGGGTTACCCCCCGTACCACGGTGGGGGTATGAATTTGGGTGTACGTCCGAGGGTTAAAATGATGTAGTCGTTGCCTCAAGGGCTAAGTGAAAACTAACATTAATCATTATTCCATTACAGGCTAAAAATGTAACTGAGAGAATCCTTTTCCTAGTGGATACACTTGCAACGGCACTGCTATCCATAAAAACATCTGGCCAGAGACAGAGTGTCTATGACAGCGATTTCATCAAAATGAGACTTTGGCGACAAAGGCCAGCAAATATTGGAAACAAAACTTTCAGTGGACATGAGGAAGAGGGAAATGTGACCTTTCCATCTGCCGACGTCTTATTTAGCAGCGACAAAAATATTCAGAAACCAGCAACGGTCGATACCCAGGTGAGTTAGCATTATCTGCCCATAAATCCGAGACTCCGAGACCGGAAGGCAAAAAAAAAATTAGGGACTCCGAGAAGTCGAAATCACCCGAAAACGATAAAGTCGAGACTCATCAAAAACGCGTCCGAGATCTCGAGATCAGGCCAAAATTTTTCGAGACCTACGTTTTTCGAGGTGACATTCTATACCCGTGCCAGGATTCTTCCGCCATATGCGCGGGACTCGTAGTTTTCTGCTATTCCCATTGGAAAGCTTACTAGCAAGCTACCTTTATTGACCCAAAATATTGGGTCACCAACAAATAACCTACTGCAAATATGGGTATCAAACCCTTTTTTCCAAAGTAATTGTATTAAATCCGTTCAAATAATATATAAATTTAGGCAAGGATATAAAAAAAGGAGTTGCCGTTAATAAATAGACATCCACTGAAACCTAAGCCTGCGATAATCGGAAACAAGCAACTTGTCAGGGGAGAACTTCAAAAAACATGTCACCTCGATGGGTTGACACCGGAGCCCGCAATACGGTCATATGGTACTGGTCAGCTGATACCTTGTTTTGCCAGTGACAATTGTCAATTGACCACGCCAAGGATGTGCAGTATCAGATAACAGGCTCCCACACTAGCCAGAAAGTTTGACATTTAATGTTGTTTTCCCTGTGATGCGGAAGGACGAGCAGTCGGGCTGAAGTACGCTCACATGATTACCAAAATTTTTCGGATGGATAGATTAGGAGCTCCACTCGCGCATGCTTCGAGTGATTGCGTCTACACCCCCGAAAATTCTTACAGAGCGATTTAAGCTACCCGTAAGAGAAAGTCGTCTGTTTTGGCTGATGAATTATTCAACATTTTCTCTTTTTTCTCCTTTCTTTTCTTTTTTTTTATTTTTTATCTAGATTGTAACTTTCACGGACAACCCATACTTATGGTCGGATGCCTCGACATTAATCAGATCGTCCGTTTTGAGCCTGGATTTAAAGATGACGGATGGATCACACCTTCAGATCTCTAATCTTAGTGAGCCTATAAAACTGTTCATTCCAATAAAGGAATCAAAGGAAACGGAAAATGCACAAGATCATTATTTTGTTAACTCAAGTGTTATTCAATATCACAAAGTTAAACTTAGAAGTGCCCTCGAAACTGTTTTTGTAAAAATAATATCAGACAATGATGCTATTTTAGACGTTTTTGTAAGTGCTGGTGTAAAACCAAATGCGGAGAATTACACCTTTACAAGACGAATTCCGGACTCTGATAACACTTCGTGTCTCGGAACTGGTTTCTTTAACTGTGCAATCAACCCATATATGTTTAAATTTTCGAGCAACTTCACAGGAGATCATTTCATAGGCATCCGTCTGGTGTATGACAGAACCAAGCCTGTGTTGAAATCTATTGCAAAAAGCCACGTCCGACGGAAGCGTTGGTGGATTAACGTGAAGGAACCCCCCACGACTCCTATCTCGACAATAAAGGTATTGCCAAAGTACGACAGTAAAACCGACGTTAATTACTCAATGTCAGTTAAAATTAGGACCTGTCTCTACTGGGCTGAGAAAAAGCAGGATTGGACAAGTGAAGGATGCAAGGTAGGTCTTTTAGACTTTCCTCATCAGTATCGTTAGCTTGATGTCCATGATTACCATCACAATTATCATTAACACAGTCATTGCTTTTGACATTGTCATAATTATGATCGTATTCGTAATCATAATCATTATCTCCATCATTGGCATTATCATTATCATTGCCGTTATCATTAACACTGTCATTGCCATTGACATTGTCATAATTATCATCGTATTCGTAATCATAATCATTATCTCCATCATTGGCATTATCATTGTCATTATCATTATCATTAACACTGTCATTGCCATTGACATTGTCATAATTATGATCGTATACGTAATCAAAATCATTATCTCCATCATTGGCATTATCATTGTAATTATCATTTACACTGTCATTACCATTGACATTGTCATAATTATCATCGTATTCGTAATCATAATGATTATCTCCATCATTAGCATTATCATTATCATTGTCATTATCATTAACAATGGCATTGTCATGGACATTGTCATAATTATCATCGTATTCGTAATCATAATCATTATCTCCATCATTGGCATTATCATTATCATTGTCATTATCATTAACACTGTCATTGCCATTGACATTGTCGTAATTCAAAAGGTTGAGTTTGATCGTCCGGGTGAACGTAGTCCTGAATAGGACTGTTGTTGTTGACAGTGTCAACAGCAACAGTCCTATTCAGGACTACGTTCACCCGGACGATCAAACTCAACCTTTTGAAATGACTCCTGGGTTCAAACCTTTCACATTGTCATAATTATCATCGTATTCGTAATCATAATCATTATCTCCATCATTGGCATTATCATTATTATTGTCATTATCATTAACAATGGCATTGCCATTGACATTGTCATAATTCTCATCGTATTCGTAATCATAATCATTTTCTTCATCATTGGCATTATCATTATCATTGTCATTATTATCAACAATGGCATGTTAACTTTTGTTATCGCTATTGTCATCATCATCACCGACAGCGTAATCGCTATTGTCAACGTCATTTCCATTTATATTGTCATTGTCATTGTCATTACCATAATCATTATCATTGTCAATGTGGTTGTCACTAACATCGTCCTACGTGCAGAGATGACACCATGTTCCTCACCATTAAATGTAAGCGAATTTTGCTGGATTTGAAATCCAAGTTCAGAAAAACACAAATAAGACGTCACTCTCTATCTCCGAAAAGTTAACAATAAAATTATTCAGACATGTTAAACTAAGACCGTTCGATTTCAAACTACGTATGTCATATAAAATATACTGGTAGAATGAAGAATTTCCCACTTTCTAGTTTCGCGCGCTATCGTTTTAACGGTATCACGAGGTGCAGACCAGTTGTTTGGGCTAATTTGGTTTCGTTTGTGGACTTGACCCTCTACTTTAGAAAAGCCCCTATACATAAAGGATCATTCGCGTGGATTCTATTTGTTTTGGGCGTTTGCGCTATACTAAAATGTTGTTTCCTGTTTAAAGGTTGGATCGGATGGAGGCAGTGGCACTCTGCAATGTTTGTGCAATCACCTGTCGGCGTTTGGAGGAAATATTTTTGTAGCTCCTAACCCTATCGACTTTGAAACAGTTCGGAAACGATTCATAGATCCAGAACCCGACGACTTTGTCGTTCTTGTAACTGTGTGCATTATATTTGGCATTTACTTTATCGGTCTAGTACTTGCCCGTCGAGCCGACAATAACGACAAAAGAAAGGTCAGTATATTAGCTTCAAGTATTACTAAGAACCAGTTCATTTAAAGCTACTTTTATAGTATAGAGATTGCAGGAGTGAATCCGCTACACGGTTAGCTCGGTTAAATAGGGGAGAGTCTGTCGAGTTAAGCTCATGAGTTCAAATCCCGTTACAACTTTCAACCGGAGTTTTCAAAAAGCTTGTAAGATCATATTGGCGGATAATCAAAATCTTGTCTCAGTTCAGGTGATTGCGTCCTAATATTTGGACGTTGATGTAAGGCCGTCAGGCTTAAACGCTCATCAAATTTCACTTTTGTTATTCGTTTGATTGTCACGCATGCTACTGGATTGATTTGCCACCCACCAACCCTGGGTTGTGATTATTACTCTCATCGTTTTGGCGACTGTCACTTTTTCTGAACATGAACAATGACTTCTCTCCTTCAGACCTGCCTAAAGTTATTGGCTACACGCGGTTCTTGTTATTAGAACTGATCAATCTTATAGAACACAGGGAGAACAAGAAAAGATGAGGGAATTAATACTTAGGAAAGGGTAGAGCTGCATCAGTGGACGAAAACTTATGATGTTACAATTCAAATTGTTTCCTAGAGAAATGAAAAAAGTTTAAGGTTCCCCTTTATTAGATAAGAGAGGTATCCGTATCAACTTTCCAATTCGTGACATAACCAATGTATCCTACAAAGAATGCTGGCCATTATTTTGTTGAGAGAAAAAAAAAAGCAGCGTATCTTCGATCAGCTTAACAGTTGCTCTTATATATCAGCTTAACTTTTTATAATCTTTATTTTAGGTCGTTGCAAATGTGTTCATAACTACATCCTTAAATATGGATGGCCACAATACTAAAGGAGAAAGAGAGAGAGTGGATAACCCATGTCAGTTACATTCAACCGCTGATTCTTCTGACAAAAACGTTTACCACGTAAGCATCGAAACGGGAATGTGGATGAACAGTGGGACATCTGCAAATGTTGTACTTATAATAAATGGTGAAAAAGGAAGCAGCGGAGAAATTTCGTTGACAGATCCTTTGGCGAGGAGAAAATTATTTTCCCGTGGAAGTGTCAATAATTTCATTCTCGCATTGCCGAATTCATTGGGAAACCTTACAGATATCCTTATATGGCATAACAACAAGGGATCCAATCCGGCATGGTTTCTTCAAGAAATTGTCGTAACCAACCAGCAAACAGAGGAAGAGTGGTACTTTTTTGCCCACCAGTGGCTTTCTCTAGACAAAAGAGGTGGCTCTGTTGAGCTCTATCTTGAACCCAGGAAAAAGGACAGACTTGCGTTATTTAAACCTCTCTGCTACGGAAGAACGGCGCGAAACTTAAGCGAGGGACACATTTGGATTTCACTGTTCACACGACCCCCTCAAAACCCGTTCACGCGATGCCAGCGTTTATCTTGCTGTCTTTCTCTTCTTTTAACGGCCATGGCTACCAACGCTATGTTCTATAAAAGAGGCGATTCTAAGACTGATGACACCTTTAAATTTGGGCCTCTAGTCATGAGCTGGACACAAGTCATAATTGGAATTGAAAGCAGTCTGATAGCTTTGCCACCTAACTTACTCGTGGCCTTAATGTTCAAGAACATAAGATCAAGCGGTGAATTCTATGATACGGTAGAGGGACGTAAGAAAACAAAGACTCGGGGTTTCCTGCCACCGTTTTTTCTTTACATCGCTTGGTTGTTTTGTCTTGCCATTGCTGTGATTGGAGCCACCATTACGGTGCTCTATAGTCTCACATGGGGGGCAGATAAGTCCAACCAATGGTTGACATCTATACTGGTGTCCATTTTTCAGGATATCCTTATCAATCAACCCGTTAAACTGTTAGCCTTCGCGATAGTCCTATCACTTTTGATCAAAAAACCACCAGAGCAAACTGTCATTGGGCCATCTTTTTTCCAGAGCCCAGAGGTAAACCAAATCAAGGCTACGTCCACCGAAGACAACAAAACTGAAAAGGAAGTCTGCAGTAAAAACTGGGACATGGCTCAGATTTTTAAAGAATTTGCGTCGTTTCTGGTCTTAAGTATCATCCTCATGTTTGTAGTTTAGGCAGCTCAAGACCCATCCCGATACCAATTCACCAGTTCAACAATCAGCCTCCTAGGTGACTTTGATAAGGTGAGTTAAGTCGAGTTACCACTGTGTTGAAAATATATATACATATATATACAGCTATTTCGAGAAAGGTTGTCGGAAAAAGTGCGTGCTACAATCCCGAAAGGCATTGTGGGTGGTTTTGAGTTCACTGTTCTTCAAAGAAATTTGAAAGAATTGGCACGAAAGGCCATGAAAATGTGTTTGCGAGTGCTAAAGGAAAGTAACAAAAGTCAGTTCGACAGCTAAAGTCGTCAGAAACAGTGTATCAATCATATCCCATATTACCTTTCGGGATTGTTGCGCGCACATTTTTCAGACAACCTTTGTCGAAATATCTGTATATATATTTATAATACAGATAGGAATTTAGGAATAACCAGTTAATAAGGGGATGGAAAAATTATTCCTTAGGACAGTGCTATGTTTTATTACATCGAGATCCCCAGGACGAACATTAGATCGATATTTTTTAGCTAAATCTGCATTCCCAGGGCAAATAATTTTGCTGTATGGTTTGTTATGTCGAGTGCTCAGTGCTGAAAACATTTTACATTCCTGTAACCAACATATGTCCCTCTGACGAATCGATGACATAAATAGACCATTTTTAAAGGCTTACGCCGGGTAAACCTCCAGAGGGATAATCAAAAGTGGCTGTTTTGGTTAATTTACAATAAAACGAGACCATGAACTCCTGACAGTACCTTTATCAGCCTGAAAATATGAAATACTGAGCCAATCAAATTGGCTTAAATTTTGACACCAAAATGTCAAATTGTGACGTCACATTTTCTCTCGTCATTCATACGGAATGAAGCGCTTTTGACATGCAATTTCACCTCGTAGTAGTTTCATCCTTTTTAAAAGCGTGTGTGAAAGATCATGGGCGATAGCTTCAGCCGATTGCTAGAAAGAAGGGTTTGATTAGTATGTATCGAAGCGCTATTGTATGGCAATAAAATAAGGGCTACAATTCGTTACTTTTTATGGGAAGTTTTGTCATTACAAGTGAAAGCCTCTAATTATTCAAAAGGCATTGTCTCCATGTTTCATTTTCACTTGAACAGCAGTAACTAACAATGCATATGAAATATGCAAAAATGGTAGCTATTGTAAGTTGTGCACGAAAATATCAGAAACTTAGACACAATACCCTGAATAATGAGAGGCTCACACTTGCAAACACTTAACTTCTGCCAAAATATTAGCGAGATATACTGCTGCAAGTAAAATAGGTAATAGCGTCATCTCGTTGCTATGAGAACTTCGATGCCGTTGCAACCCTGATCATAACAAATTTTCATCTTCATTTAATGCAACTGTAATGGCAATTTTTCCAAAACTTTGTTTATGGCGACGTACTTTATACTCAAACCTGGGAGATATTGGCCCTGAAAAACTGTATCGAACCACCTTAAATGAGGCGTGTACAAGCTATGCACAATTTAATAGCGGACTTGTCGCGCGCGCGAAGCGCCCGCCAGCGGAGCACCATGGGTAAGTGAATCTACCCATCCCAGAAAACTTGGTAATCACGTGACCGTACACCGACCGCCCGAACGACCGTCTGTCCTCACCACAGGCATACCAATGTAAAATAACTCAATCAACAGGTATGGCAACTCAAATGGAACTCGGGGTTACTTTGGCGGGAAATCGCATAGCCACCCGCGTCACAACTACAGAGTCAATAAAGACGAAAACGGAAAGCGGAAATTGATTATGTATCCGTGTTGTCTAAAGTATTAAGCTTAGATTAATTTTCATGCCCACAAATTCGGAAAATAGAGCAAGAGAAAGATAGTAAGGAGAAAAAAAAAGAGAAAGTAGGCAGCAGGCCAGCGAAGCTAGAGGAGAAAAAAGGTGACAGAGATCTAAAGCGAGAGATAAAAAAACAAAGGAGACACTTTTTTGTTGGAAGAACAACGTGAAAATTTTGTAGCGGCGGTGACAACCTGAGAAATGCTAGCGGTCACCAATGCATGGTGAAAATGAGCGGCAGTGAAAAATAAGTGATCGAGAACACGTACGACATTTCCTCTAAAAACCGTGTAACTAAGAAGTTTCTGGAAGTTTCACCTTGTAGTCGTGCAAAACAGCGGCAAAGAAATGTACAAAAAAAGTGTGCTGCACGTGATTGCTTTTTTGCTAATTAAACCTATTGTTGTTTTTTCACCGTTCTCGTTGTCTTCGCCGCTTAGCATTACACGATTTTTTTTTTTTTTTTGAACAAACTTTAAATATTACCAAGAGCTTCCCTTTTAGCCCTGGCTAAATCTATATGTTATTAGATATGTACACCTCGAACTGTTTAT